GTGGGGGCGCCGGGGTTAGGTGGCTGGAATTCAATTACTTATGGGGAAGAACCATGTTGTGATGACTTTCCTTCTCAGCATGGTTTGCACTTGTGCAATTTTTAATATGGCAATCACAGTATATCTGCTCTATCTTTCACTAGCCCCCAAACCCAGGACACTTATTACTGATGAATTTGTTTGTAGGTCCTATTTCGCGAGGATGCAACGGTGGATGATCTTATAGATGTGATCGAGGGTAATCGTAAATACATGAAGTGCATATATGTCTATAACAAGATAGATGTTATAGGTATTGATGATGTGGACAAGTTAGCTCGCCAGCCAAACTCTGTTGTCATTAGCTGCAATTTAAAGGCAGGTTCTCTATTATTTGATCTTCAGAGAAATATGGTTCTCCCTTTCTCTCTTCTTTGGGGGTGTGAGGGAGGATAAAGGTCTTGTTTTTTGTAAACAACTTGTGGCAAACAGCAGAAAGTAACCCAACTCATCTTAATTCCACTTTTTTGCTACAAGATGCTGAATGTCATGAGTTTTGTTGTCTAATGCATCTTACTTCATGCATGTGATGCATGTTTTTCTTGCAACCATTTTGCAAAAGCACATTATCATGGCATCTATGTACATCCAAAAACAATTCCAAGGCTAAGGTGATATGAATAAAATATCATGTGCTAGTTTCCAATCTGTGAGTGGCTTGATAAGCATCATATGTTTTATTTCTTGTTTCCTGAACAGCTCAACTTTGACAGACTACTTGCAAAAATGTGGGAAGAAATGGGGCTCGTGAGAGTCTACACAAAACCACAAGGCCAGCAACCTGATTTTACTGATCCTGTAGTTCTTTCAACTGTATGTGACAAATTGATCATTTTTTTTCTATTCATCTCACGTGTAATCTATGCTTTATATTTGTAGTCACTAGCTTCGTGTTGCTTAATTTAGTTCTCATTGTGAATGACAGGATAGAGGCGGGTGCATGGTTGAAGACTTCTGCAATCACATACACAGAAATTTAATCAAGGATGTGAAGTACGTGCTAGTGTGGGGTACAAGTGCAAGGCACCTCCCACAGCACTGTGGCCTTGGTCATGCTCTCCATGACGAGGATATGGTCCAGATTGTTAAGAGAAAGGTTAGGCAAACCTCTAATTGGTATCTTGGTCATAAAAATATTCACTGCATGATTCTATATGCCTGTCGGATACTACTCTGTCAATAACCTTTATGATCAGGAACTTTCACACTCTTAAGAATTCACCTTAAATCTAATGCCCCTGCTACACGATTCCATTTTTATACATTGAATTCACAGCTTATTTTTTATCAGGACTTTAAGATGTTTTGTGTCTGCTTAATGCTTTTTTCATCAGGATTTTCTCTTTTCTTGTCTCTTATGACCAAAAGTTGTATGTTTGGAGAATTCAAAGTTGTGTATTTTGTTATCCAGGAAAAGGAAGAGGGAGGAAGGGGTCGGTTCAAATCACATTCAACAGATCCTGCTCGCATATCTGACAGAGAGAAGAAAGCTCCATTGAAGACATAAGAACATCAGAGGTGTAACCAGAGTACGGTATTAAAATATACAGGATATTTTTAATTGTGTACCCAAACTTATATAATGCATTTGTAACTTCCTTTCCTCCTAGGTAGGAGCATTCCCTTACTCCCATGGCTTGAGTTTTGTTTTTCCTCGCTCCTTGAATAAAAAATCTTGAATGTTCTTCGGCTACCCCTATTAAGTTTGTAAATTTAGTAAATTTAGTAGCTACCCCTATTAAGTTTGTAAATTTAGTACTTGTCCTTTCTCTTCGGTCATATTCTTCCGCTTTTTTTTTTTCCTTGTTACTGCATGTCTAATTTTTTTCTTCTTCATTCTTTTCAATTTGAGTTCTCTATCATTGTTCCAACTTTAAGCTTAATTTAGCCTAGGCTTGTCTTTGTATTGAGCAATGGAGGCTGGCGTTGATATCATGATTCTTGTAAGATAAGTTAGGAACAAGCATGTAGATGGGAGTATGTTTGGACTACTACTAACTCATCAACTCTTCAATAGACGGTCTTAAAAAAAAATGCAGGGATGCGAGTGACCATGAAGTTTCAAATAATGCCATCTGTGGAGAAGATGAAACATGCGGCCAAGATTTCAAAGAAGTGCATCGGCATTCTTGGAGATGATTGAATTAGAAAAGTTCGTTGGGAAAAATTTGGGACAACTACAAAATCCATAATAAGAGTGGGTCAAGTATCGTGGCTAGTAATAATTTATCTGACAGTCGTAGATCAAAACTTCAAATGATCGGACCCTTTTCACAAGCTGTTTTGGTGTGCTTTTGGGCTTAGGCTGTCATGTATGTTTTTGTAAACCAAGTCTAGGTAATAACTTGACGTATGTTAATGAATGCATGAAAAGGGATAATCATGTAGTTTTTTTTTTTGCATATGATTCTATTGTAACTCATACCTGCTGATCTTTGATATTTATACTCGTCATTGTTGTTTTATCTTGAACTCGTCATACTGTCGTGGAAAGTATGGTTGCAAACCTACTCATAGGGGTAGTAATGGTGAACTTCTTTATCATGAACCACTGCACAATTATTATGGTGAAATAGTTCTCTTGATTGGATTTTTATGGTTGTGTGCTGTGTGCATATAAAGACTTCATTTATCATTGCAGCATGCATGAAAGAGTAGAGTTTCCATGGCAACAACATGCATTTGACAAGTGTCTCGATACTTGAACGTTCAGAGGAGTTCAATTCACCGCTGTAAAAACCTGTCTTCGTTGCCTTTATTCCTCGCTCTTGTACATCATCTAATCTTTAATTACTTGGTATCTTGTACTTCAATAGCGTGGAGAGGGAGGTTGAATGACTCGTACAGTTTGGGCGATGAGAGATTATTACAAGATATTGATGTTTCTATGTTAGAAATCTTCCAATTTTACTTATTATTTTGCTATTTTATTTTATAACATCTAGGTGGTTTTAGTTTTTTTTTATAAGAGCGGTTCCTCATCTTGTAGTCAACGCTTCCAGCCAGATGATGTCGGAGATGCCCAATAGGATAGAATTAGTGCTTCTCATATCAGGGGAAGGGGTCCTCGAAGAAAATAGTCATTTTAGACAACAGTCCTTGAACCAATGAAACAACTTACACACGAGTATTGTAACTAAGTTTGATATTGTTGGTGTAAATGGTAAATTAATGGCGGGGTACCCGGCAAGACTTCCTTTCCCTCGTGAGAGGATTAGTACTCAAAATTAAGGTGTCATTAATGATATTGTTTGGAAACCCAATCCGGTTTAAGACCCGGGTCTTGAACTGGAATGGTTTAAAGAAAAAATAAGAAAAGGAAAAACCTAGTGTGACCTGGTTGACTCAATGGGTTGACCCAACAAGACCCGATCAAAACTCAGTTGTAACTCATTGACTTTTATTTTTTGCTAAAATGACGTTTTGATTAATCTGGGCAACCCGGTTACCCGGTTAAAACTCGAAACTCGAGCCTTGGACCAGATCGGGAAAATTATGATTAATGGGGTTTCCCTTTTTCTATTCAAATATGGATATGAAATATCCTTTAATGATTTTAATCATGATGAATTTTTCAGATGTAACTTAACTCTTAGCCAATTACATTTAAATAGTTGCATGTTTGAAAAATCCATGAAACGCTTTAGAGAAGATCCATCCCTTAATATTTAAAAATTTCTATAAGTTAATGAGATGTGCTGATGGATCTCAAGGGATGGCATGACTCTATATTTTCTATAAACATATTAACAATCCTTTAAAGAGAATTTTTTAGGGAAAATGGAATTCTGTCAAGAATTGGAGAGGAGAATGGGTTGTTGGTAAATACACATAAACCATTTTGCTTTCTATCTCACGAGAGGCATGGAGAAGTCCTACGTCTTTGCGAGTCACCCAAGGGTAGTACAACGTTGTACCATGCTTTGTTGGTGCTAAAAAGCTATTATGTAATTAACTATGCAAAGCCCTAATTTGCAAAGCTCTTATTAGTATAATATAATACTCTTGGTTGAGAGATATTTATTGAAGAATTATAAGTGAAGCATGCATGTAATTGTACTCTTTCTTTTTTATCTTTGCTTTTTTTTGTTGTACCTATGTTTAATGCTTTATGATTTACAATCATAAGTAGTCCTGTTTTTATAAGAGAAGCAAGGAAAATTCTCCATTAAAAAACACCTACATAAAAAAAGGCTAAATAAGAGATGGAAAAGGAGGAGATTTAGGAAGATGAGGAGTCATTTAAAGCAATGGAGACATATATGGGTTTTGATGGTACCAGGTAAGCTACTTGTAAGAAGATAGGTATGTTTAGATTTTAATGTTATCTCATGATAGCCTTTTCATTAAATAAGACTATTATGATCAATACTTGTTAGAAGCATAAAAGTGCAACCTCTCCATCATTATAGGAATCCCACCCTTCAATATTTGCAGTTTGTTCCGGTTCTCATCCTTAAGCTTAACTATTAGTGTAATGACCTAGATTTTTAAATGCTTTATCCTTATTTCCAATAATCAAGTATGTAAAAATCTAGAATTTTTTTTTTCTAGTTTGATTCAAATTTTATAATCTATAATAATATAGTTATACTTTATTAAGATTATCTAAATATTTTTCAAAATTTTAACAAAGTCTCCCTTAAAATAAAACATTTCCAAGTGTTGACATTTATAATTAGATACACACAATAATAATCAATTCTTGATCCAACTATCATAGATTATATGTCATCAACAGAGCTTTATCTCAACCATAATTCTCATCATCTTTCAAGTATATATGTTCTTTTAGAACTAAAGATATTTGCAAATGAAATAAGAAAAATGACTTTTACACATTAGAAATTATAAGCATCAACAATTAATAAAATTTACGTTAACTTTTACATATGTAATAAAAGAAACATTTAGATTGCATTTTATAAAAATATAAATTCTATTATTTATAATCCAAAAGACCTAAGATATTATAATATTCATAATCACTATTTAGTATTGAAGGAGTCATAATAACAAGTTATTGTTACTGGTATGTCTAAGATGTACCTAAGACAAATAATTAACATCACAAAGCTTTCAAATATTAACATAACATCAAGGACATATAGCATACTATCAATAGATTTTTTTAATATTTTTTTTATAAATCAGTCTATAAAATACTTCAAGACAACAAGTAATCTATAAGATCATCATCTTTGATGTTTAATATACTTCAACAGAAGAAGTAATCTACAAGAACATCTTTGAGGTTCAATTCATTTTCATCTTTGACCATCTTTTATAAACATTCATACTTCAAAACTTGCCTTCTAAAAAAGTCATAATATAAATGTAATCCCTTAGACCTTACTAGAAAGTTTCTTACTATATTATCATATTCTATATAATTATTCTTTATTTATAACACATGAAGATAAAGGCAAGTTCCTTTTTAGAAATTCCTATTCTCTTTATTTCCATATGACTTTAGCCAATACTTTAGTTATCTTACCATACTGATTAACTAGGTGATTTGTTTCCTAAGCTATTTTGATCCATACTAAAATTATATTAGTCATTTTTTTAATAACAATTCATGCAAGTAATCATACCTTAAACACCCTTTCTCTACCTTGAATCATTTTTTTTTTAATCTTGAATCCTATTTTCTGATTGAATTAAGTTGTCATCCTAGCCCTTTTATTTACCAACATATATAATCATTTTAACAATCCATTAATCATTTTATAATAATAATAATAACCTAAAAGTGAAAATTAATGGATTGTTAAAATGATTCTAGATGGTGGTAAATATATATATTATCTTAATAACCTTAAATTATGTCTACATTCCTTTTTAGGCTATTAAAGATAACATTTATTCTGGCCCAATCTGATTCTTTCAACCATCTATAAAACATGATATGATTGACCATTAGAATATCTTATATAAATTATGCATTTCAACTATTAACGTGTCAAACTCATTTATTTCTTAACTACTAAATAGTTATCGTTCACATCATGCATAAAATATACAAATATTTTTATTTTTTTCTACATCTTGTACTTCAGCATTATACTTCCTAAGTTCATAGATCTAACTCATTCTTATACCATTTTGTACTACCATAATCCCCAAATCAAATCTTTAACCTTATAATTATCATTATAATCATCCCCAAATCAAATCTTTAACCTTATAATCTTTTTTTTTATGGCATTCCTCACACTTGTAGTAGACTTCAATATAGTGAACATTAGTCCATGTACAAGCATTTTGCAAAACCTATGCCCATAAAATGCTTACTTTATATCCTTTTTAATTATACTTCTAAAGATATTTAACCTTTCATTTAAGGTCAAATAACTAAATTAATTATGAATATTAACAACAATATCTATGTATTCCCAACCATTTATTCGTGAAAGCCAAATATTTCCCCAATCATCCATTATAGAAACCAATCACCTTGGCTAACTCTTACGGTTTCCAATAACTCTAGCAACAAATTCTTATGGTTGCTAACAATCCAGTCATCTCGTATGAATGCCAATTAATCCAACGAACCCTAACGGTTGCTAACAATTCAACCACTCTACAAGGATGCCAATTAATTCGATGATTCCTTATGGTTGCCAACAATTTGGTCATCCAACATGGATGTCAATTAATCCATCAATTGTGTCACTATATTTTTATTTTTTTCCCCTTATGCTTCTAAAATTCAATACACATGCACATCTTTTTTTTTTTTCATGTTCATACTCATTTTAATAGTTTCAACTATTAAGACCCTCGATTAGCAATACTTCCAAGCAAGCATTATAAATTTATAAATCATAGTTGATTTAGTTAGAATATTGTTTGGTACAATTAAAGTTGTAGAACTTGATTTTGAAAATGAATTGTCTTTTTGAAAATATACAATATATAGTTATAATTTTCATGAATAAAACAACCAGTTTAGCTATTTACAAGTCCAAAATAACCCATTACTGTAATGTAAGGAAATTTATCTAGTATCATGTTGGTTTGGATCTTTTCTCAATCTTTAGGTTATGTTTGGGGTTGTATAGCTTTGAATTGAGTAAGAATAGTTTCATTTGAAAGCTAACATCCATTCCTACAACTTTTATGAAGCAACTTACTTCGAATTCCATCATATTAAAGCACAAAACCAATAATTACAGTAGCATCCTAAATATGTCCGGATTTATTTTAGTTTAGATCCTTACTTTGTTTTTAGCCTATATTTGGAGTTGTATAGTTTCAAATTGATCAAAAATAGTTTTATTTGAAAGCTAACATTCATGCCTACAACTTTTATGAAGATTCTTACTTTAAATTTCATTTTTTTCAAGTTCTAATTTCTATATTTATAGGCTGCCTAAACAAACTTTGTTTTGTCACATCTTAGATTGTCATTTGAGCCTTTATTTTTTCACATATAAGGCTACT